TACCGTTTTATTTTGATTTTCGAAAAAGTAGCCATCTCCCAACCTCGCATGTACTCCAACATACCTATTTGATCCTCCAAGTTCGTCAATAATTCGATTTGCAATATTAACTATTGTTGGATTGTTTGGTAACATTTTAGTCTTCAATCTTTTCCAAAAATTTAGACTTTTGGGTAATTGTTTAACAATTCTAGTTGATGAAAACACACTTCCAAAGTGTAATAATTTTTCTGATCTTTTACTTAGGTCGATTAAATTCACACGTTCTTTAAATTTAGTGAGCGTAGTTGTTGATTTAGGGTCATCATAATATCGGTGTTGATATTGCGCTAGATCGCTAGTAACATTATACACTTCACTATCGTCATAAATTTGAAGTGATTCTAGTAAGTATTTAAGATTAAAATCTTGACGATGAATATACTTGATATGCTGTTTCAAAAATGTAAAGTCCATCAACTCTTCCCAATTGTACATAGTATAAGATACCGTTTTACAGTTATTATTATCTTCCCGAAGGCATAATACAAAATTACAATTTGTTTCATCTTTACTGAAACAGAAAGTAAATTTGTTTTCTTTAAAATCATTGTTAGATTTCATAAATCGGGTTAAAAGATTATATAAATCATCATACGGCTGCGATATTATTGGCGCAACTCCAGTGAAAAACAGTACAGGTGGAATTATTAAAGTTCTGTTTAAGTACCATGCCAAGAATATTGCGTTTTCTAATTCTATTCTTTGATTGTTGAAACCATCGTGGGGAAGGTAAGTTAAATATTTTTCTTGGAGGTCCGTTAAATTATTAAAATTATTTGAGGGATGTTTGTGTTCAATAAAGTAAAAAGTCGCACATAAAAACATAAAAAGGAAAATATTCATATATTTTCTATATCGAAAAATCGCATAACTGAAATTTAGAGCCATTACAGTTTAAAAGCTTCATACGTACTTACGTACGTACGTATTTACGTTTTTATAGATTTAAATGATTTTAAAAATAGAAATGATGTGTTCTATTTATAGAATCCTTGCCAAGCTTGATTTATTCATTTTAATGATATAAAAGACTAAAAAAAGTTTTACAATTGTGCGTAAAATTTTATGTTGAGTGTCTTTATATAGAATCCAAAAGATGAGTTTGTATTATTTACGATCATTAAGCGAGATGCGAGATTGGTGAACGCAAATACAGAAATAGGGGGTTTCAAATTAACAAATAAGTGACGCTTTTGGAAAATAAGTAGAATTTTTTCAATAACATTTTTATTATGTTGCCTAATAGTACCATACCCGTGCGAGATTTAGCGGCTTCATTATTTGTGCATTACGTATTACCGTATTAGGCGTTGTGCAGTTACGTAATTTCTGAAATGGAGAGTACCCTAGCCATGGCAAAGAAAGAACAGGCCACGTAATGATCTGCGGGTAAATTCAGAAATTAGAATTTCGAATTTTGATGTAACGTAACACGATCGGGAAAT